TTTTTAAAGCACACAATAGAGGGTTATTCTGCTTTTCACAAAGGAAGCTGAATATCCGCTCTTAATGGCAGTATTTTATATGTAGCACATGAAACAGATCCTACTAGGACAGCTATAAAAAACTGGTAAAATCTGACCTTTTATTTTAGGTAAATGTTACATATTTGAATAAAAGGTTGCATTTATAGGCAGCCACAGAATTCTTTTTTTTTTTTTTAATTTTAATGAAATCTTTAGAAAAGCTCAAGGGACAATCGAGGGCAATTTTTAACAAGCAATGCTAATTTTGAACAAATTCAAAACACTCAGGCAAGGATTCTCCTCTAACGTAGGATTCATCACCCTCCTAACTTGGTATAAATTCAATCTGTTCTGTTTGTATGACATAAACAACAAGCAGTTTCACAGGAATGAGGCAAACCATATGTGAAGGTGTTTTAGAAAGCACAACAGGGAATACACCAAGCAAAGAAGCATCTGCATTTATTTCAATGTCAAATCACATGTGTATTATAAAGGGAAAGTTTATTGTCTTTATATAAAAAACAAGAGTACTGTATTGTGCTCTTTAAAGTTAACTCTTCCTGCCTCTCAGTATCCTCCTCAATTTGGAAATAAAATTGATAAAATTCATAAAGTCCACAGGTGCATTGGCAGGGTTGTAAAGGGGTCTTCAACCTTGTTCACCCTTCCCAGGCTGGGACACACTGCCAAGAGCCCATTTTCTCCTCACCATCCCCTTGCTACCTCTTTGAACAAGGGCTGCATCTGCTCCTGATGGGTGCAAGTGAGAACCAAAGGCTGGTCCAATGCCCTGGATTCCAGACATGCAAGAATATGACTCTAGATAAGATTTAACAGCTTGTCTGCTGCATCAAGATGCTGTCTGGGCCTGCAGCTGAACCACCATGGGCAGCACCTGTCACTGCTGTCTGTGTGGGGCACTGGGTACTCCCCCACAAAAGGCAGTGCCCTACAATTAATTGATTTTATAGGAGCTGGCCAGAGTCAGTTTAACACGTTTGGAGTAGAGGAGAAAATATTTCAAAGCAGCATTTAGCCTGGGTAGGAGCTACAGGCACGTTGTTAAAAAGCTAATTGCATGGAGACAAAGGATGATCGTTACTTTTATATTAGTGTGTAATGTTAACCCTTGAGAGCTGTGTTTGATGATAAGTTGTTGGCAATTGAAACTGCTAGTTTTTATATTTAAACTCAAGCCTGAAGATTCCTAAAGTCACAGAAAGTGTATGTCATTATCTTCTTTTTTTTTTTTTTTTTTGTATTAAGACAAATGGAGGTTTTTGAAATCTGGGATTTTTTCACATCTCCTCTAGAACTATACATAAAAAGCAATGTTAAAGCACTGAAGCGTTAAAATTATTTCTCACATCTGGTTTTTTATACATGTTCAGGAAATCTGGCTTTATAGTGACAGTCATGAAGAACATTTTTTCCCTCAAATTTTCTTTCAGGGAACAGAAGAAGAGAGCTAGAGAGCTTCTGAGAGCAGGTTTTGGTCTGCAAGGTCAAAATTCCTCCAAACTTTCCTCCTTTTCTCTCAAGGTTACAGATGTCACCCGTATTATTTAGACAATAGTCACGAATAATATTGATGTTCTGCTGCAGATTACACGGGCTTTTAATTCCAGGAGCACAAGTCTCAGAGAAAGGAGCTTCACCCATGCTGTGGTGCAAGGCAAGGTGCTGGGGTGGGCTCTCCAGGAGGGCCAGCAAAGCACTTGGTGAGCACCAGCCAGGCTGTGACTGCAGCAGGGATGGCCCTGAAATAGGCAACCACATCTGCCTGTTGTCTTAATCTCTTTGCCCCCACCTCATCTTTTGGACTCATCCCCCTCAGCCTCAACTCAGTGGACCCAAGCAAAAGCCTGCTGCTCAGTGCAAGGCTGTGCATGGGCACAGAGGGAAAGGCACTCGTGTGAGATGGAAGCTGAAGCCCATGGGCTTCTGCAGCCAAAATGATCTTTTTATTACCTATGTGTATAATGGCCACTGTAAGGAGGTTTGACTATGGCCTACGGATGTGAGACACCACTGTCAAATTAATATGAATGGAAAAGGACAAGCATGCTCTAGCAATGGAAGAAAAAAAAATTACAATTATCAGAAAAATATTTGTGATCACAAAAGAATATCTTGTTCTTACTCACGAATCTGCCCTTTGGCAAGCCTTAAAAGAGAAGAGCGTATGAGAGAAGGAAAAGAAGAGAGAAAAAAATCATTGGGAGAGGCAGGGTGTGGGGGGGAAGAGAGAGACTGAGACAGTGGATACTTTTAACTTGTCACAGTACAACACTAGCTTTTAATTAATACAGGGTATGTACAGCTTTGAAGACTGCTGGTCATACAGTACTTTATGATAAATACATTTTATGGGATTTTGTTTCTAAAGAGGATTTTGTAAAATAACCTAGCCCAATAAATGATTTACCAGCTGCAATAAAAGATCAAGGAAATTGCTCAGATTGCATCTTGGAGCATCTAAAACTCTGAAGTTTATGGAGATCTAAGCTGCCCCCAGATCTACAGTGTTATTAAAAATTTTTGTAGTAGCTAATTATCTTGCATTGCATTTTTTAAAAGGTAGCAATTGTAGCAGAGAGGAAGGTCTGGAAACAGACAAAGAGGAGTTGATGCCCTTTGATGGAGAAAGTGGGAGAGAAGGAAAGGAGGAGACAGACAGAAATGAGTAACAATGGAAACATCATGCTGGTACAGTAACAAATGGAATTAACAACTCACAAGGTATCAGATTCCCGAGTAAATTACCTGAATTAACTCTATAGTAAAAAAATAGATTATTAATACATTATTATATTATATAATTATAGATTCTTTACACTACATGCTATGTGTAACACATATATTACTTGACCAAGAGTGAGTAATTCAAAATTGAGTAATTCAATTTTCCTATCTTTTTTTTTCTTTCTGACAAATAGGATGACCACAAGTGAAGCAGAAAGCAAAGAGATTCCCTCTAGATTCTGTTTAGTTCTAATATCATAGGACTTGAACATAACAAATATGTAAATAAAGCAAGTACTGGTCCTTATTTCCAACAGGATGCTGGATGCAGTAAATAGAATGGCATATTGAAATAACAAAATACTGGCCTCAGCTAGGACAGGCAGCATCCTAACACATGCCTTGTTGCTTTTGTTTTGTACCAGGAAGATCTGGTTCATGCCCTGTAACTTCCTGTGCCCAGATATAACTCTGCCTGCCCAGGGAATCCTGGCAAAGTCAATGTCCCTGCAGGCATGGGGCTCAGGGACAGCTGGGCTCCCTAGGAAAGGACAAAGAAAAGAAACAGAAAACAAAATGGAAGAAAGGGCAGATGTTTTCTCTTATGCTCCAAATCAAAAGGTGAGGTGCATGCCAACAGAGACAAGTGCCTCTCTGCTCTGCTTCTCCAGATTCCTTGTGCAATTTGAAAAGCCATGGAGTTCAAAGCCTGGAGCCAGGTTGATAAGGGTGGAGTTGAGCCCCTCTCCCAACATTTTAAGCTGAACAACTTTGAAAAGAATAAAGGATGAACGTTGCTAACTTTAAAGGTAGACAGAATCCCAGAATGATTTGGGTTAGCAGGGACCCTAAAAGCTGTCTAGTTCCAAACCCTCTGCCATGGGTAGGGACATATTCCACCAGACCAGGAGGTCCAGGACTCCATCCAAGCTGGCCCTGAACACTTCCAGGGATAGGGCATATACAATTAAATATTCATTCTATCACTGTAACTGTGCAAGACATGGAAGAGAGAAAGTGAAGTTCACCACTGCAGAAAGCAAGCAACTTGAGATGGATAATTGATGATAATTTGGTTAATTTAATTTGAAAATTGAGGTAGGTAAAATGAAACAGTGGGAGCTGGCAAGGATGTTTGGATGAGCATTGCTGCTCTAAAATCTATTCTTATATTATGGCCAGGATGGGGGAGTCCTTAATTGTCCAAAATAACCATAATTAATCCAGCAGAATTATGAAAGCCTAATTATATGAGTGTGTGCTATTCTCCTGCCTGATTTATGCCTTCTCTAATACTCAGGGTTAATCACCTCTAGGGCTGAGTTCAGATTACCACAGTGAAAATGCACTTTGTGTCTGTAAGGTCTTTACCTGATTTCCTGCCAATTTTAAAGGCACCAAGGCAAACAAGAGCAGGGCATAGACAGCACTAGAGATGGTGAGGGCTGCTTGGCTTGCCGATGAGATAATCCTGTCTCATGTTTTGATAGGGAAGTGATTTAAAATTAAATTTTCATAGACATACACCCTACTCTGATGTTTGTTTTCTGGATGCTTAATTTGAAACTCTAGGGGCTGATTTGGAGAAGATGATGGGTTCCAGAAATGTACATTACAGCTGGATTTTGAATGTTCAAAGCACAGTAGGGAGCTATATGAAAGATTATCAGATCATTTCATTTAGTAAAGGATTGGGTCTTCATTGTTTTTTACTAATTACCAATAACTGTCCAACTTTTGCAATTACCTAGAAGATGATATTCCAGGATATATAATCATAAGTAAATGAAAAGATTTCATTTTGATGTAGTCTTTTTAATTTCACTTTAATTTATCTGTTCATTTTAAGTCATTCCCCATATGTGCATTTTATAACAGAGAACAGTAATAATATTTAAAGTAACATCCAAAAAAGGTAGTGTATTGCTCCTAAAATGCTGAAAAGATTATGCTGAAAATCTTTTTGCCTTTATTCCCCTGACACAGCTTCTCAAAACAATGTAGCAATGCCAAAATTACATTCTCAGGCAAAAAGTTCTTCTAATTTTTCTAATTCAACTTCAATCATAAATAATACTAAGAAGTCCAAGAAAATACCATGGGTTTTGTGTTTTGTTTTTTGGGGTTTTTTTAGCCCAAAAACTTTCATCTAAAAGTAGAAGCCTCTGTAATGCACATATGGCAAGGCAAACTTTTGGGTTGTGACGCTGTTTGATGCTGAGATAACTTACCACACAGAAAAGGTGTATTTCTCCAAGTCTTCCAAATAAAAATTGCTCTCTGCAGATGTTTTCCCTTCTTGGCTTGCATTGTTCTCTGGACCTGATTTTAATTCGCAGCATTGGTCAGGTGGGTTATTCCTGCTGACCTTTAAATGAAAATGAGAAACAAGTTAGAATACTAAGGCAATTAGCAGGACACAGCTAGTAAAGTAAGAGGTGCCACTTTCTCTGTTTTGAATTCTAGCTCTGTTTTCACTCTATAACAAACGTGGGAAACAGCAGTGGCAAAGCTGCTTTGAGTGTGCATTCAAAACACTTTGAATAGGCTGGGCTATTTCAATTGGAAGGGACCTACAACAAGCATCTGTGGTGCAATTCAGGGCTGACCAAAAGTTACAGCATGCTGCTAAGGACACTGTCCAAATGCCTCTTAAACACTGACAGGCTGGAGGCATCAACCACCTCTCTAGGAAGCCTGTTCCAGGCTTTTGACCACCCTCTCAGTAAAGTGCTTCCTGCTGTCCAGTCTGAACCTCCCCTGGTGCATCTTTGAAACATTCACATATATCCTGTCGCTGGATACGAGCGAGAAGATCTCAGCACCTCCCTTTCCACCTTCTCTCCCCAGGAAGCTGCTTTTCTCCAAGCAAGACAAGTCCTCTGCCATTCCTGACAGGACAAGCCTTCCAGCCCCCTATTTTCCCCTCCTCTGGACACATCCAAGGACCTTTTTAACCTTCTAAAATGGTGGGGCGTGGAGCTGCACACAGAATATTTTTCTGTGAATTGATTTATGCTCCTATGGGGCTGTGACAAACCCTCTCAAGGAGGTGCAAGCTCATGGTGACACCAGCAGTCAGCCACTAATCTTCCTCCACTTGCTTGCTTTTTCCAGTCTTGGACATCACACTCTGGCAGTGCAAAAATCTGGATGCAAGTAAGCCATATGGAAGGAACTCACCTGGGAACTGAGTTAGTGCTGTTTGGATTCTTTTTTTTTTTCCCTTTTTTTTATTAACTGGGTTAACTCTCAGCTGGACTCATACTGATCCAGGCCACTCTGCCCCAGCTGCCAGCACAAAGGAGAGGGACAGCACCTCATCCTTCAGTGCTGGTGCCAGCTTATGCTCATTTTAACTACTCTACAAAGTAGAGGATCCTGATTTGGCTTATCCCTGGAATAACACCTCTGCATGCACAGGGTCTGATTCAGCATGGGCATCGCCTCTCTGAACTGACTACCAGATTCCCTGGATGTTTGGCATTATTGCCCCTAGACAGAGAGCCAAACATCACTTCCACCAGGAAACACAATGAGGTCATAATTTACCAGACAAACATCTGCAGGTGACTTCCGTGGCGAAATCTATTAATACCTTGCCAGGCACAACACCAAACTCTGCAAAGGGTTTGCTAACATTTAGTGAACAAGTCTAGAGACGACAAGTGGATGGATACATTGGTGCAGTCACATCACTTTACACTTTGCTAATTATGAAAACTACAAAGTTTTTTTGCTTAGATCTGCTCGTTTTTGGTTTTTGGTTTTGGGGTTTTTTTAACTCTGTAAACTATTTTGCTTTAAAAAGTGAATTTGCATTTTGAATCTTGGATTCAGGATCATGGATCTCATGCACATTTTGAATTTCAATCACAACTGCCCAGCTTTATTCCCTAGAAGACGAGGTTTCAGAATCCGTAGTGTGTGCAAGGTGCCTTGTTTGCACTGATATTTTCTCCATTAAACTATTCCTGTGCAAAGTCCATGTAAAGACATTATTTAAGACATAAATCCCAAAGGTGCTAAAGAGTATTATGAGTTAATTTCTCTGAGATTGTGTTTTCTTGTCTGAGGTACAAAAAGCAGGAACTCAGTCATCTGCATGAGGTTGGCATTATAACCACAGAATATGTTTTACTTCTCTCAGAAGTCACTGACTGCGAGCATTCTCTCTTTTTTTGCTACCATCCAATATCTGAATACATGCAGTGGTTTGCATACCCATTGCAAAAAAAGCTCAATTGTTGCTAATGCCCATCACTCAGAATACACTTAGAGGGAGAGTTTTGCAGCTCTTTAGCATAGATGAATTTGGGGTAGGGAGGGCAAAGTAGAGAAATCTATGTTCCCCAAAAAGTTGAGGTCAGATTCGAAGAACTTTCTCATTCCTTTTCAAAATAAAATAAAATAAAATAAAATAATTAAGAAATAAAAAATAAAAAATGAAATAAAATAAAGTGCCTAAAAAAATAATAAAATAAAAATAATAAAACATTTCAAAAATCAAAATAAAAAAATTAAATACAATATTTTAAATTTTTTTTAATAAAATAAAATAAAATATCTGTTTACAAAAAGAAAAGGGACTTCTGAGGAGAATAAACATGAACTTGAACTTGTGTCTTTTTCTTCAAGTATGTTCTTTGCATTAGTTTTTCATTATTTCCTATATACAACTGTTAGGTAAAGTCATTTTAGAAGATGCTTTCCAGAGATACAATTAGGCCCCAATTATATAAATCAGGCCAAACGCCTAAATCTTGAACATGCTAAAACAAGATTCTTTCTGAACATTAGGATTCACTCACCCTATTAAAAAATGAGGGGCTCTCACAACCTCTGAAAGAAGATTTCACATGCTCACATTTCTTTTGTGCAGAAGGATTCCCATAAGAGGCTCAGTTCAGGAATCTATTCAAACATGTCAATAACTGTAAGCTTGTGAGTCATTTCAGTGAGACCAAAGGGGCTAGACAGTGCTGAATTGCCCATCGGTTTATGCACCTCACTGAAACCAGGTCACTTTAATGTGGCTTTGAGAGCCACCCACAACTGAAGTTCCTGTAAGACTACGGCATTTTGTTCAAAGGCATTGTGCTATTATGGGATTGTAGGAAATGAATTTCACTCTGCCACTCCCATGGGTTGGGCCGGGTTGCTTTGTGCTTTACACCCACTCCATCGCTCTTTAAATCATCCCTCCTCTAGATATAAGGCTGAACACACTCACACATGCACATCTCAGTCTGCAGCTAAACTTACATGAAACTCTGTTTTCTTCAAGTTACCTTCATCTTCCTGGAAAAATAAATCACATGGAAACTTAGACATTGAAAGACAAGGGAATATCCAGCTGGCCAATCTGGTTTTGCTCACAAATGTAGATCATCACTCTACTAAAGCTGAAAGTTGTAATTATAATCCCCAGCTATTTAGTATTTGTGCTACATTGCACAAGTTTTTGGGTACTGAGTACTGTGGCGATTTTTTGTTATGGGCAATTAAAAGGATTAAAAATGCCTCAGAGTGTATATAGAACAGGGTGAGACAATTAACCAGAATTATTAATTTGAATGTTCATTCTTGCAGTTCATTCACTACAGCCATACTGATTTAAGGATAGAAATGGATTAACACTTACTGAGAAAAAATTGCAACTATCATTGGAAAATACCTAATTTAATAATACAGTGCAGAGAGAAGCAATTTTCAGGAATACAAAATCTTCTTCATGTCTTGTTTCTCAGGATCTACATTAAATCTGAAAGTTTCTGTAGCATCTCACTCTGAAAGTGTTATCATATGGCAGATAAAATTCCATGGTTACTTGTACTGAGGACACAATATTTGTTGAAAAATTGACGGTGTCCTTGGCCAGGATACTACAAATATAGATAATAAAATTTTCTGATGGTCCTCTGCACAAGTACACGAGAGCTTGAAGTTTATGGATGCATATGAAACACATCTCATGTTTACACATTACTGAAGTTATATCATCCTGCAGCTTGATCAAGCTTCTGTTGTTTGATTGCTTGGTGGTCTTTCCTCCTTTGAAGTTTCATTGCTAGAGAGATTAACTATACAGGAGACAGCAATACACCTGGCCATGTGAAGCCTTGTTGTGGCTATTAAAAAATTCACAGGGATAGATTAAAGAAACACAACAACCAGAGCAAGCAAGACCACAAATCGTTCTCAAATGACACAAGCTCCAGTGGCTTCTTCTCTGTGAGCTTTAAGGGAAATGGTGATGTTCATATCAAAACCAGTACCTTGTGATGTCCTTCTTGGACCTCCTTCAGCCAAAACGAGCCACAGTGCTTGTCTGCATTGCCACAGCAATCTTGGTAATCCTCTGCAAGGAAAAAAACCACAAACAAAACCAATTCTAAATTAATTTTATATTTGTGCACAAGGTAAACCTCTGGAAAGGATTCAGCTGGGTTTTGGTCCCTCTCCCAACAAGATGCTGACTAACTTCAGGTAGATCATTTTCCCCCTTCATCTGAGTTACATATAGGTGGCTATTTCTCTCCTACACTCTGAAAGTGTTAGTTTGATAAATGCAGAGAAGACTTCAGATGCTGTGGTCTTGAAAATAACAATTGCCTAGATGAAAAACAGGGGGGAAATTAGAAATAAAGAAATCATAGACACAAGAAGAGTGACACAGGAAGGTATTTTAAACACCCTGGGAAGTGTTCTTCAGGAGACAGAAGGAGGGTAATTTTCTTATATGGGCATAGTTGTGGATCAAGAGTGAGGCACAGGGACACGAAGTACTAGAATAAACTTAGAAAACACAAGTCACGCATCCCTCAAGCTCCTGAAAAGCAGTGACCTCTGGAATGAACAAAAATGTACTCCCACATCATAGTAAGCAGTGGTGTGGTAAAAATAAAAGTCTGTATTACATATTTCAATGTATGGCACATGGAGAATAACCCAAAAACACACTTAACGATTATTTCTATTATTTTCTTTTTAAGATATGTTGAGTTACACACAGTAAAAGACAGTCAAGTTTATTTAAAATCACAGTACAGGAAGGATCTGCTCTTAGGTGTTACAGTGGTTGATCTACAATATATGCACATACCATGTCACAGTTTTAAGTCCGTGTTTGTGTACACACCTATGGATATATTTCTTACTTTCTACATATATATAGACTCATGTACAGGTGTATCTATGTTGAGGAATGAGGAATTTACAGATATTTACATCATCTGGGGTGAAAGAAGAGGACTACTGAAATCAGCAAGACAGCTTAAAATACTGCTGCTGGCTATGTCACGTGTGTGCATACATGCAGTATAACCTGTTCAAACTGTCTCTACATATTTTGTATATGGGATACCTGTATGGACCCATAAAAACATATTAAAATATAAATATACCTTTGTAAAGATGGTTCTTGTGGTTTTCTTTGTTTAATTTTTCTTCTTCATTTGTTTTTTCCCCAGTGCACAAAAATGGGTTTCCAAACAGCCTTGCTGAAATGATGAATACTTTAACAATGTTTTTGGAGTCAAATGAATAAAGCAGTAATTATCTTGGCAAAAAAAAAATAAAGGACAATAAAAAGAATAAAGAAAACAATAATATTCTACATTTAAGAAATGGGAGGGAGAAGGATCTCAAGTCTGTTATTTAATCATGACGTGCTCTTTTTATATTTTATTTGTAAGGCTCTGAATGCTCTTTTCTTTGTATACCAGTGAGCTCATTACTTTAATTCCTCATAGATTTCTCTGAACAATTTTTGCTAAGTAAAAACACAATATAATTCTTCAATAGCTGTAACAGTAAGAAGCTGCTCAAATTAAAGATCAATAAAAAGTACAGAAAAAATCTGTATGAAAATAAATAAATAAAAGAGGAGATGGGAAATGCCTGCAATTAGACAGGATGAAAAATCTAAAAAGAAATTAAATTTAGTTGTAATACATTTCCCATTCTTTTCTTCATGAAAATTACTACTGAAGTGGTTTTTTTTCTGTAATTTAAATGTTAAGCTGCCAGATGTGTGTCTCATGCTTGAAGAGTTGAAGCTTTGCATTATTTAGCATATTAAGATTCACAGAATTTAAAAAAGGGCTCCTTTATTGCCTGGAGGTTCTAATTAAGTAAACCTTAGCCTGGTACATTTAAAACTTGCAATACAAGAGATTTTACTTCCTTTTTTTTCTCAGTACCCAAATCTCATCAATATAATAAATATGGAAAATACTTAAGATGATACAATTTTTCTTTGGCTTGAGGAATTAAACCTATCTATTATTTTAAGAAGTTTTTAATAGAGGCCAGCAATCAGAAAGACATTTAAAGACTCCAGTCTACTTTTTAATCATAGGAGTTGCTCCTACTTAGTGGTTGGGGGGAAGGGAATGTGTCTTATAAAACTGAGCTGTGTAGAAATTTTCTTCCACATGCAAAAAACAAAGCAGTTCTGAGAGAGAAACAAAAACCACACCATTCTTTATTATTAAATTGCATTTTACTTTTTTATAACTTCTTATAATTGACCACAGAATCCTAATAAAGCATTAATTAGCTGCACTATCAGCAATTTCTCCATTGAAAGAGGTGGGACTGCTGCATCAGAAACTGTAATAGCATAGAAATTCCTTTGACATAGAGTACCCATAAATCATATCTTAAATACAGTTATTTTTGCCATTTTAGAAAATGTCAAAGGTGTCAACTTTGTCCAGATATAACACTTAGCAGTGACTATTTTAGTAAATTGACTCAAAATACATTTTGTTCCCTGACAGGGGAACATAATATCATTCATGATAAAAATGAACAATTTAAGGAGGAGAAAACAGCACCAAGAAAAAATGATCAGAGACAGGTATCATAGCTGTGACAAAGGCACAATGGCAGATGTAGGCTCTCTGTTAATGGATTTATTTGGAAGTCAAGAAACATTTGCATAAAAGCAGGAAAATATGATTACACCAGAGCATGGAAAAGGCAATAAGATTCTTAATCCAAAGTTATAAATCTGTGATCAGCTATTAATAAGAAGTCCAGCAGAATAATTTAAATGCCTACATTCATATAAGACAAATAGGAAAAACAGGGTGGCATTTTTTCCCACCATTGTGGAACAGGCATGACAAAACCAATGTCTGGATTTGGAAAATTGTGGTGATATGAAGGTTATTTTCAGACCTTGACAATGCTGAGAGCAGTCATTTTTGGGTCATATTAAGTCCCAACCAGTTTAGATACCACACGGATCATGCCTGATAAGGGATACAAAGAGAGGGTTACTGGTACAAAATCCCTGAGCTCTTCTGGGACCTGAGTTTTTAAAATACCATGGAAAGAGGTTGGAAACAAAAGCATTATTGCTACTCTGTTACCTTTCTCCACATCAGCCTTCTCAGGGCAATAGCAGAGCATAATAGCATGGCCTTTAAAATCAGCCTTTAGAGGGTGTCTTACTGCTTCCAAACCCTTGGAAAATAAAACTTTTTTTTTTACCCTCTGCCTTCAGCCTGGAAGTTACCGTCTTTGGTTATGTCTTGTGTAACAAGTACTGTGGTGCAACAGGAGTGAACCTGTAGAATGTAACCAAGGTTTGGGGCAACACCACTGAGCAGTGGGGACTCCACTCTGTGTTGAAGATTTCATGTCAGACCAGCTGTTTAGTCTGGCCCTGGTAACTGGCCCATTAATAGCTGATATGTACATTTAAAGTATATCCCCTTGCTCAGCTTCACCCTAAATGCATATAGGTCTGATACTGCAGAATATTTATTATTTATGTTTTGGGGGGCATGGGGAGTCTAAATGATTTTTTTAAAATATGGGCAAAAAGAAATTGCACAGCTAGGAAATTACCTTACACAAATTTGATGGGAACTACTTCTGATTTATATGGGGCCAAAGAAGAGAAGTGCAGTGCCTTCTGATAGCTGCAATCTCTTTTTAAGTCAGTAGGAAAGGGTTTTAGAGTGGTACAATCCAAGAGTGGAGCAGAAGACAAAGAAATCACCACAGCAGGGACAGAAAATAAGATTAGGATCCTATTTCGACTCCCTTCCTAGTAATGCACTGGTCTATGGGAAATCAAGTAGCATGGCAAGAGCTGGAAAATTTAAGAGTTTGAATTGTGAGGATTTCAGAACCAGAACCTGACTTTGATCCTAATTGGAAAAATCAATGCAATCCTTTATGCAGTCCTGCTCAGAGAAGGAAAAGACCAGCACAGAAATAAGTTTCCACCATATAAGGCTCTGCCTCTGGGGCCCTACCTGTACTAAAAAATGAGGCCCAAGCAATCTTCATTTTATAGTATCACTTTGTTTCCTTTAAAGTGGCACCCATGAGGAAAAACAGCCTTTACTTGGTTTGGATTGGCTTTTTGGTTTGGTTTGGTTTGTTTTTTGGTTTTTGGGGGGTTTGTTTGTTTGTTTGTTTAGGTAAATATTTTTGCATCTGCATACAAATTTTATGTAGAAGCAAAGAGCACCTCAGTAGGGAAAGAACATCATTGCAGTATAAGGGGAAATATTACAATGAAGATTCACTGGTTTTCATAAAATTGTTTCTGAAATGCTTGTGAGCATAAATACAATCCTCTAATGAAACAATTTCTCACTTATATAAACACATTTTAACAAATGTAAAGCCTCCTCTCCAAAGGCAATGATAAAATTAGAATGAAGCTGGTTTTGTGTCTGGTATTTTGATATTGAAGGAACATTTTAATAAATTCTGAGTACAGTTTTGAGTGTTATCTGCTGCTACTGTAATAAGCCCCTTGGTTAGCCTGATGCCATCTTTGCTTAGACATTATTCTGAAGCTTTGTTCTGCCAGAAATGTCTTTTGATGTCACAAAAGGACAAAATTTACTTCCCAACATTTCTCCACAAATGCAGGAAGGGTGTTGAATTTGAAATCTTAAATATGAACAATATTGAACATCTTATTTTCAATACTCAGTTTGTTTTAGAAGACAGACATCAAACAAAAGATTCCTTCTGAGGTAGAAGATCTGAAAATAGGAGCTAAAACTTTATCCTGGGTGTGCCCTAGAAAGGTGATAGAACAGAGAGCTGAAGGAATCACAGGGGTTCTGTCAAACCCCAAAAATGAGCAGAATGCCACTTGCTTGTAAGAGTTTGACTAAGACTAACAATGTTTTTGAGAAATATTTCATGTGTTTCCAGAGGTTTTAATTGTAGTGCATGCATAACTGGGGGCTTTGCGAAGAGAAATTAGGCTTCATATGAGAGAAAGGCTGGGGATAAGGTGCCTGCTGGGATAAGTTTTGGTGGAGAAAAAAATATAGGCACTGTTGAAGCTTCAATTAAACATCCGGTACAGTAAAAATCCTAGCTTATATGTCATCCTGCAGAAAGTATCTGGGGATTTCGAAATGAAGCTTTTTGCTTTCCATCATTTTGAGTGCAGATAATGAGTTTAGTGGAGACATTACTGACAACGTTCCATCACAGAAGACCAATGCTTTAGTGATGTGACTTTTGAAACAAGTTTTTCATTAAAATATTTTGCAATAGATGCAGTACCAGAAACTGAGCTCATCAAGGAAAATTTCTGTTGTCTCATCAATAAAAATAAGCAAAAAACTTTTTTCACCTAATTCAAAGTGCATGTATATTTTGGAGATCAGCTTGTGGTTCAGGTAAACTCAGAATTTTTTTATTTATTTTTTTTTTTTAGTCCTCAGTTAATTATAGTATTATCTCTTTCATATATCTAGTCAGAACTGATGATGATGCAAAATTATGCCCTTTGAACCTTGCTTTGATAAAGATTGTGGTAATCCAGAACTTTCCAAATCAGGTCACTTCTGTAACTGCATCATTTCAGGGTATTTGTAAGAGGCTGTCTTGAATTGAAAATGTGGGTTCTAAAATGCTCTGTTTGCCACTGGGTCTCTGCAAAACTCCATATAAATATTTGGAATAAAAATTCAACATGCTAGTTTTAGATCTAGATAAATATTAGTGATGGGAAGAGGGGAGAAGGGATACCTGTCTACTTGCACAACTAAAAATTGGGTTTTGAGACACACTCTAAAGGTGGAAACATCCAAATGTTGGCAAGGAAAATAAATCAGAAAAAAATGAAAAGCAAACAAAAGCAAATGCCAAACACCACTAAGCATTATTTTAAAACCCTTTTGTTCATGTAGGACACTTATGTTTTTACTATTTTGAGTATTTTAAGTTGCTTTGCACAACTAATGTTGGGTAAATTAACAAAATAAATTTCAAAGTAAATTCTACTAATGTAGAAGTTGAACAAAATTTCTAAGCTAGGGCTCTGATCATATCCTTAGAAGAACCAACATCTAGAAAAGACATGTTAGGTGTTGAGCTTATCAGGACATGAAATGAGAACCCTTGAAATATTGAAAACTTTTCTGTAATATGCTTAACATTTTGTCACAAACACCCTTTTAACAAAAAATGACACCAGCTCTACATTCTACTTCTCACTCATCTATGATAGTCAGTATCAATATTCAGCATTTATGAATCCTGTCTTGGCAATGCCATACTAGCTCCTACCTCTATCTGTGCCCACTTAACATGAGATACTCAGCATGTGCACCTATTATAGCAGACGCATGGTTCTAGCCTTCCTGGACAGTCAACAGAGAAAGATGGCTCCAAAGAAATTGTTTTTGAATGACATTTATGGGTTGCTGTGAAAGGGAAGTTGGCATTTGCTTCAAAATAACATTCATCCAAAATTCTACTGCATTATTTCAGGGAGCCCACAGACTTGAAGACAATAAGAAGATACTGTTTACACAGATAAGAGGTAGCTGCCAGACCTCAGGTAGCTCTCTCTTACCTAATATTCAGTTCAGTGTCTAACCATGACCTATTACAGCTTCCTTGTACAGAAGGAAAGTCACCCTCTCCCTCCAAAAGGTGTGATTAACTTAATCCCACTTGCACTTTCATCTCCTCGCACTGGCCTAGGCTATGAAGCGGGAGTAGATATCCAGATATCCTTGGTACCTTCAAATCCCTGCCCCATGGTAAATCCTCCTTTGGCCATCACGGTGGTCTTTGAGTTTAGGAGAGGACTTAGGGGTTATATTACTCAATTCTCAGATAAAGACATTTTACCTGGGACTTCAAAACAAAACAAAAACCAAACTAACAAAAAATCCCCAAAACAACCAATAAAAAATAAACAAATAAACAAAATCAAGAGAATAAAAAACCACCATAATAACTTTGCCAGGCTTTGCCTTTGGAAGAAATCCCATGCACCAGAAGCAAATGTTACCTGATGTAAATACAGACAGGCACTTTTATGCAATTTAGCTCAGCACAATTAATAAAGGATACTGCTATTAATGTGCTGCAGGAAGAAAAAAGTACTTCCCAAGCACCTAACAGCAACATGTTGTGATCCATGGATATAAACGACCAAATAAAATGAAAGGATGTAAAAATGTCACGGAAACACCAGCTGTAATCTAATGTTGTCAGTGCACTGCACACACACCTTGTAATTACTAACACATTTGGCCTACAAATATATTTTAGACAGGGGACTCCACTGCTTCTGTACCTTTTTGCCTAAGCTGCTTTTGATCCCTTACAATTGATTTAAACTCTTCCATCACTTCCTTTGCCCAGTGAAATAATGATGAGATGATATCACAGGGTGAGGGGGAAGGCAAATGGGGGTATTTACACACATGCCAGGCAGATCTACTTGCAAACTTTCAGTAAATTAAGTAACACAATAAAACTCCTAACCTGCTGGAAGCATTTTAAGCTCTTCTCTTTTCCTCACAGCTTCTTCTGACACACACGCTTCTCCTCCTTTCGCAGCATTAAACTGCTTTTCCACTTCCTTTACAACAGTGGGAATACTTCCCTTATGGGTGTCAGGATCTTTTGGGGAGGTCAGAGGTTGCCCTGCAGAGGAAATGACAAGCTGTGAAATGTAAAAGAACAATTCCTTCCACATGTTTCCTTGCTCCAGGAGCAGTAAGGGGTTGTCGGCTAGCATCACGATGGGATGGGCCAGGCCTTTGTCTTAGCAGTCCTGTCAAAACTAATTTACAATTAAAGACCTGTGCAACTGTTTAAAGCTTTACAACCCTAGCAAGTTTCAAGGACTGCTGAAGCCAAGTGGTACAAACCAATCTTATTATTAACAGCAAGACAGACAGAAGGAAGATGGACCAAAAAATACTCTAAACTGTACAGTAACCAGAAAAATTGTACACCTGAAAATTCTCTCTCTCTCTCAAATATTTATTTCTGTTATAAGCTCATAGTCTAATAACTAAAGGCATTTCAGTGGTTCTAACTTATCTTCTGGTTGATGCATAGGGCACAGAAGCCACATACACTGCTTGGGGAAAGCCACATGCACTTGCAAGGGGAAAGAAAAAATAAAGTGCAAGGGAAAAATGAGATATTTGTTCATTGTAAAAAAAAATGAGTGTCCCTAAAACCGTTCCCAAACAGCTGAATTTTTTTTTATTTTTGCTCCCACAGTAGAGCAGGGGCGAATAAGGGACAAGCAGACTTTCAGGAAAGAAGATTTTAAACTCAGAAAATCTGAACGTAGGTGTTTAGTCCAACACAAAACAGCTGAGGTAGAGGAAGTCTTTCTGTGTGACAAATCTACCCAGCAAATCAATAGCAAGAAACATTTCTGCTAGCCCAGACACTAGGAGCAGTGTATTCATGCTAATGCGACACCCTACCACTTCTACTACAGCAAGATCATCCTTGTGCTGGGACCTAACTAGCTACCTTTGAACACTTCCCCTCAAAACTTTGTCTGATAACACCTCTCCCCCTGCACAGTCAAGCTAAGTAAAACTCCTTTCTTGATTTCATACTCCAGAGCTTGGGGAAATTACTGCTTAAAAAGAAATGCACAGTCATGACTCTTTAGGTTCACCAAAAATACACGAAGCTTAGAACTAAAAAATAGAAAAGTACTACTTCAGTATCCTAATCCCCAGGGTCTGTTCCACCTTCTACCTTATAAGCATCCTTTTTAGGTCTTGAGTGCACGTCAGTATGTGCTGGTACAGTGCTGACCATAGCTTCAGGACTTCAAAATAGCCAACCTTAAAGTGTCAACTGGAATGAGAAAAGTTTTCCTCTGGTTCTAAAAACTGCAGTGGGTAACATCATCCCTAGCTTTCCACTTGCCTGTTTTATCTGATCACAAGTTCAGATGGGCACAAAATGGCGTTTGTGTGTCAGGTCAGATCAACAGCACAGCTGCAAAGGAAAGCAGCTGTTTGGATGAAGGTTCCCAACAAATGTGGAGCAACACTTTACAAATGAGCCTGTGTCTGACCTAAAAGTGTTTGGGCTGTAGAACTAATATATGAGTGCTGTCCATCAACTATTCTGAGGATGAAAGGGCTGCCAATTCCAAAAAATACTGTTATGCTGACATTTTGCACATGTGAATCCCCTCTTCCTGTGGATGCTAAAGTCAAAAGGGGTCCTGCTGGATTTCACTGTGAGAACATTTTCTTGATGGATTTGTATATTTAGTGTCTATATGGAGACTGACAGTTTTGAAGTTGTCATACTTTTTAGAAGCCCTTGTTACTTAGATCCAAGACTACCAAGGCAACATTCCTGGTAGTTGTATCAAATATTCTTACCTAAGCTCCTTCTACTAGAGCTGTTACCACCTCTCACACAACAGTAGATAATGAATTCTGCTCAGAAATTGCCATTTATTCTGATAGGGACTGTTGTTCCTGTAAGGAGCAACGGATCAACAGCAAAATATTTTCCTAAGAAAAACAAAGGATGGTGGTGGCAGAAGCAGAAGCTGTCTTCTGCCATGAACCTCTTAGAGAATACCACTTCAAAAGAATAGAGAGAAGATATGGTTTGGACTAAGAGACACGCCAGATCTGATAATTGCATCTTTGATCTGCCGAGGAGGTAGAATGGGAGGCATTATGTTGCATTTCCCTGACCTGTGCTCTAGACCAGAGAGCCTGTGCAGCAGCAGGGAAGAGCTTTACCTAGCCCTACATGGAGCTGTGGCTTAAAAGAATAACGTAGCCTGGAGTTAATGGAAATAATATGAAGCTCTGTTTTAAGCTTCTAAAACCAAGACAAACTTGAAGTGAAGGCTAAAACACCATCTCCTAACCTGCTTTATTTCTCTTATATGTTGCAGTACCACATATGGTATTGATATATAAGATCACTCACTATTTAGACTACTGCAGTAGAGTGAGTTACAGAGCACCCGTCTTCATTTAGACTGTTCTTGCTTTCTCTGGCTTGTGTCTCAACCTTAATGTCACTCTAACAGAGTTTCCCCCTCCCCATCCCAGTTTTTGGTGGTTTAACAGATATAATACTGAATTTATAGGACATATCAATGTGCGACAGCTTGCCACAGATCATAAACACATTTTTCTGCTGAAAATGTTGGTTGTGATTTTCACCACATGACCTCCAGTTCTCTAAGGTTTGTTCCTTTAATTGTAAATAGCCAGAAAGTCATCAAGCTAGCATTTAATAAACTTTTAATTTGAAAAGGATTACCACATGTTGTGTTTGTTTACCCATTATTAAATCTCTTAGCAACATATCACCAGCAGAAACAGCATACTGTAGCACTGCATAGGTACATTAAAAAACAAACCCATGGGGGATATTGGCAGCTAATAATATCTTTAAAGAACGCTCCAAGAAAAATAAATAAATATAAGCAATATCAAAAATTACCCCTAAAAGTTTAGTTTGTGCAAATCTGTTTGGCAGGAAAATTACAGATCTTCCATGATCGCCTTATCGGAAAATTTCAGAGGTCTACGTGCAAAAGAGGACACACTAATGCTTTTTTTCAGTTCTTAAAAACATGTCTTTCTTGACTTTTCAAACTGAGCATCATGAGTTTTTCCAAGCATTTCCAGAAAGCATGACATATTTAGCTGCACCCTCTATGTGCAGTTCCAAATGCATGTGAAGATTGATGGTCGGACCAAACAAGTTTGATCCATTAAGAGTTTGTCCATAATTCTTCACTGTTGATAAGTGTTGCCTGCAATTCTACCTTTTGGATCCGCTATTCATGGTTTGCTGCATCTCAAAGCAACCTGGCAGATATTTAGAAGATATATGACAACAAAAAAGACTTTAATCCTCAGTATAGTGTATGTTTACACCTCCATGCTTCTCTTATCAGGGTGGATATATAAAAGCCTTTTGATCACAGTGCAGTTGCTGCTTAGCCTAAAAGCATCTCAGGGCAAACCTCATTTTCTTTATCTTTTAAATCACCACTAACTGTCTGAAAAATACTTCTCCTGGACTCTTTTCAAGTTATGCTTCCAACCTGAGCTGCCCATTTACCATGCTAAATTATTATTGCTTATGCGTTCTTTCTTTCCTTTCCATAGCCTCTTCTTTATCCTCCTGTGCCCTCTACAGTGCATCACTACTGCTGTTCTCAAATGCCTAAGGAACCTCTATCCTGAATAAATAATTCTCTGCTTTAGATCTATACATAATATTCACGCATACACTACAATCTATGAGTTGACTGAATGCTTCAGTTCATTAAACAAGAGGGAATATAGAAATATCTGTATAGCGAAAATGAATTCTTTTTGCGCATGTAAGTCTCATGCGATGTGCTGAAAAAGGAAAAGAACAACAGCAGCATCCTACAATTCTTCTCATTACTGGATTTCTACCAGTAGAGGAGCAATTTGTGAGTCCATTGCAATATGGTCAGTTGTGTCCTCAGTGTAGCTACATAGGAAGGTTCACAGAGGCCAGGGAGGATCAGTTTAAAAAGAACATTCAGTGATTTTTTTAGAAAGCATCTGGGGAGGTCTGCTGTACACAAGCAAATTATAATTGTCCTTCCTAAGAGTTATCACTTGATTGAATTTTAAAAGAATTTCAGAGGAGTAGCATAAGTCATGCTTCTGATGTCAGAACTATCTCCCTGCCAAATCTGAAGTCCTTGTTGTAGCCCAGGGAGGTGGTAAAGTTCTTCCAGAAGTACACAAAAAGCATCTTTTTCATTTCTCTTCCTGTAAGCTTGGAGCCATAAACAGCTGAACTGTTATTGCTGTAACATTCCAAGCATTATTCAGCCTTAAGCACAGGCCAGCATGGCCATTCCATCCTCAGCAATGAGGCTGGTTTAAACTGTTCACACCTGAGAACGAAGTTAAACCACCTTAATAAAAAGAGTCAGAGTATTCCTGCTATAACCTATGTTGGACCCACATCTGAATGAAGAAAATCTAGCTTAACAAGAACAATAATGGCTAGCCAGCATTGAAATGTTGGGTTGATCCAGTGAAAACCTGAATGTAAACATCAAAGTTTGAATCCATCACCTTGTGGTCCAGACTGTACAACACTTTCTGAGACACCATTCTTTTCAGCAGTGCTTGAATACATAAGAAGTTCAGGTGGCAGATGAACATGCATACCGTGCTTATTCTGCTTATCTGAATCCTGTGGTAGTTTAATTATCTAGGAAGAGAAAGAAAAAGAAAAAAATGTAGTTTGGAATTCCACAAAGCCAGAACATGCCTGCTGTACACTGTTTATGAAGCCCAGCAGTCCAAGATGTTGTTATAAGAATTTTAGGAAGTTCTTGTTTCTCTATACTCTGTTTACTACACTTTTCTCCCATATCATTTTCCCGTGTATTTCTTCCCCATGCTTACTGATTAAAACAGACATCCCAGTAAATGGGAGATGAACCACAATCCAATTTCAGAATCAAAAAGAAAAATATACAGAAAATGAAACAATTTTTTAAAACACAAACCTGAAAGTAGAGATTGCATAACCAATGATCCAAGTCCTGAGAAATAAAATTTTCAATTTTTTTGAATCGGTCAATTCTGGAGTCATAATGTCCTCTGAGGAAGGGACATTTAAATTTCCCCTCCAAAGCATTAAGATTGCTATCACATAAGGGAAAAGCTCCCCATCCCACTTCTCGATCAATCCAGGTATAGGTGCCACGAAGAAGGAAGAGTTCAAAGAGGAGTACCATGCCTGGTTTCACAGCTTTTCTATCTGGTAGAACCTAGAAAAGGAGGAAGGAAGATTTATTTGTTACAAAAACATCACAAGGGAACTGACTTTCTTTTATCATATAAAGCTCTACAAACATCATACCTTTGGTCCAATTTTGCATGCTAAAACAATTAACAACTCTTCCCAAAAATCATATATTTGAACAATTTTCCACTCCAACAAAAAATGCTGTGCTTTCTTTAGTGTGGTTATTTTATGATTTTTTTCTTTCCCCCTTTGCTTTCAGAAAGCATTCATACTCTGTCTCTACCAGTGGTGGAAAAACATTGCCATTAGAAATCTTTAAGAGAGAATAACAAACCAACTTGGAAATCTGTGTGTCCCTGTGAGGGCTTGCTGAGATTCACCACGGGATTAGTTTTGCAGCAGCTTTGGAAAGTTCATCCTAACACCCAAAAAGAACCCTTGCAAACTTGCTCCTCACTGAGTCACAAACTCTTCTCCACCCAGTTGTGGGAATGATGTTGGTACTTAACAGCTTTCTTCCTTTAAATTAAAGCTCTTAGTGAAAAGTATGTGAACCTCAGTGTAGGGTTTAAAAGTATTTTAAGGTAAAAAGTTCTCACAGAGAACTGACAAACACAGTTTACACTTTTCATAAGATAAGTATAGATATTCTTCTGAGCAGCTTGGAGGTGTGGAAGAGAGTTACCAGTGCCTTAGGGCCTGAAGCAATTGTGTTCCCATAGCAAAGACTTGAAATCTAGTGGTGAAGAAACACTCTGAAGTAATGAACTTATGTAAATCCATCTGTAAGGTTTTGGTGGGTACAGAAGAAAGAAGGGTAAATACAAAAAAAAAGAAATTTGGTCCTATGCCACATTTTGAACTGTTTTCATTAATTAAAGTGGGCATTGACCCAGGTGCTGTTGAACAATTCTAATGCATTCAAAAGGACAAATAAAACAAAACCCCCACCAAAGCTAGAACACAGAAGATGACTGCCATCATACCCAGGCTAACAGCTATGAAGGGTAGTCACCTTGGGGACAAGGGGAGCAAATATATCAGCTACACCCCTCACACAGTGAAACATCTGCTTCACCACTGCTCCTACACATTCTCCTGAGAGAACTGTGACTGCCTAATCTCTTAAATAAACAATCTTGGATGCTTCTTTAATAGAGACAATTTTCTGTTATTTGCATGTTTTTCATGTCCTACTGTTCCCATTTCAGTCTTCACAGTTCACAGCAGCAAATGCCTTGGTACACTTGCCTGTTCAACATAACCTTACCTTCCAGACAAGGCAGAGAAAGAGGAGCCTTTTCTCCTTCTCTCTTCACTGTGAACAGACACATACTTGTAGGAGGCCACAATATTCAGCAGCATCCTCTCACTCTGAATATCCTGTAGGATACACCCTCAGTACTTCTTGGAAGTCAAGAATAAGACCTCCAAATAAAAGAGATCTATTCAAATCAATCATCCACTGTGAACATCTTAAAATGCCAAATTCTTCTTAAATTAGCAGGGGCTTCCTCAATCAGACAACATTGTGCAGCCAACAATCATCCAAAAATCTTTACTATCTCAAATATTTCTAAGTACACACCTCAACACAGCTCTTTCTTGATGTGTATATTTAAATATAAGCATCACTTTTATACTCCTGGCCGAACACTAGGTAAGATAACAAGCATAACTCAGGTGCAGCAAAGCTTTTTGTCTCTTTTTCTGAAGCAGTAAGGGATTTGCCTACACCAATAACTGCCATGTTAGATGACAAGTGCTCACAGTCACGCTGCATCCACAACTTTTTTTGAAGAGGTGAATATAAATTATTATTTCTAATAATATGCCTTCTTTTTTCAAGTTTTATATTGTGATTAGATAACAGCAAAGTCATTTAAGGAAATCTTTTAAAATTATAAATATTGTCATTATTATGTACGTGTACTTTATATTAATTATGTAAATATATTCTAAGACTTAGTTTAGGCTTAAAATGAAACAGAAGCATCTGTTGAAAAATGCCATAACCCTGTGGCAGCTGCTATTAAACCATTAACAGTATCAGGTTTCATTTAAACCAGATTTACCATTTTCTGTAACAGCCTGTGGGAAAGCTAAAAACATTAGGCACAAATTGCTGACAAAAGAGATCCTTAATCAAGCCATACATTTCATTTGGCTAGCTGGGTGCTAGATAGTAACCTCTGTGCTACAAATTAAAGGTGATGGTTATAAGGCTGTGATCAAAGACAGTTACCTGCAATATCAAACAATCCCAAGCCACTCACAGATGAAATCACTGCTCTATCACAGCCCCCTTTTTCAGTTTCTCTCTTGCTTCCCAGGCTGACTCTTGTCTTAAGAATTCAACAGTATATGCTCTTCTGATAGCTTACATATAAACAGACAATGGTCAAGCAGCTTGTGTAAGGGTAATAATTGTGACTATTAAAATTTTATTTCTTTGTTTCTGGTTCACAGTTATTGGTCATCTGTTGCAAGCTTTCATCCTAGATTTAATCTGCAGACTCACCCTTTGGGACTGGAAGCATCCTTTAGATTGCAGCTACAGGAGTTGGGTATTTAAACCATGCCATGATGGAAACACATAATCATGAAACATAAGCAAGGACTTTATAATACACCCATCTGCTACAGGGCCTGAGGTTGTAAAGACTATAGGGAGTCCTTAAGCATGAGCACGGGGTACCTGACCCAGGTAGGACAGTGTCAGTCATCTCAGTTTTCACAGTCAAATAAAACATACCTGACAAATAAGAAATTTCTTTCTGTTGGATCCATACAAAAATCCCAGCCAAGCTTCCACCTGTTACTCTATGCCATCATGCCAAGCATTCATGCATGTGCCTTTGGGTCCATGCTAAACCTTTTCCCGCCGCCACAACAAACACACTCTCTGTCACAGCTCACCATCCCACACCCACAGGGTCAGAAAGCTCTGGGAGAGAGGAGGGAGGAGAGAGGAGGGTGCCACCTGCCCTTCATTGGCCTCCTCCTCGGCTGTGAGCCTGAGCTGGGATTTGGGACATGGCCAGCATGGCCCTTAGGCACGGATGCACAAAGGCATTTAGGCAGATAGCTCAGATTGAAATCCATGGACCTTGAATGCCTTTGTGGGTTTGAGCTGTTATGCTCAGGTACAGAGCAGGGAACAGCTCAGGTAACTGGAGGAGGAGGACGGGGATCAGTCACCTCTTCTTCAGGATACTCAGAGCAGTGCCTGGGATAGACAAGGCACAGGCAGCTCAGACTGAGCCGTTTGTTCTGATGGATGTTTTTGGTTCTGAAGGAAAAAAATAAAATTAGCAGATATATTTTCCCTGCTGGTGCCAACCCCTCATTTGAGGCACTATCTGGTAAATTAATCCACAAGCCTACACCAACATTGTTGACATTCAAAGAGCATATCCTACCTAAGGACATCTTCCTGGGTTTGGAGGGGTCTACTCTCCAACACCTTACCTCAATGCTTCTCCTTGCTCAGGTCAAATTTCCACTGAGGTCTGTGAGGTATAGAGGGTTTTACAGTGCTATGAAAGCATTGAGCACCCCCCTTTTACTGGTGTAATTTCTTCTGCAAAGAGACATGCGGCAGAGAATAAATAATGCTTGTGTGTGCCTGCACAGGCACAAGTAATACTTCTTAGTCTGCAGTTAACAGTGTTGCATTTAATTGAATTAAATCATAATGAACTAAAATTATCTCCTGCCACTATTTCTAAATTCAACTGTTTTATATCAGTTTTATTGTAATATATCTTACTTCCCCATATGCCACCATAGTTTCACTCTATAGAGACAATGAATTCTATTTGAATATTTCAATAAACATATCCAGTGGGAGCTTTTGGGGGTTTTTGTCTGACTTCCTTTTGTCTGGCTTTAACCTTGTCGGAGAAGGAATAAACTTTTTCTTCTTTCCTCTGCACCTTCAAATGATTTCAATTTAGAAAAAAAATGTACAAAAGTCACACTACTTAATTCATATGAGACAAAAATTTGACCAATACAACTCAAACAGACTTGAATTAAAATATGCAAAGGCAATTCAATATTTACTTGTTATAGAGAAGAATCTTGAAAAATGCCATATAAACTAACAGCCCATTTCTGATTATGAAAACAGCAGCACATGAATGTCACTGGTGCAAAACACAGGTAGAAAACCTTTTAAATAGGAAACAGCTCCCATCATTAACAAAGAACAATTACTTTACTATGTCAAATGAATAGTGCTGGAGATGAGGCTGTTATTGCCCAATTAAAGGGGAGCTTTCACAACCAGATTTCAAGCTCTCCCTGTTTATGTGCAAGGCCAACATACAGGCAGGGAGAAGGGCATTCTTAGGAAGTGTTTGTGTAACTCTGAAATTTATAAAAGGCCAGAGGGGAGGAAATAGAAACCTGGATTGAAGTAAAAATAAAATATCATGTTATTAGGGTTTTTCCAAAAGTCCCTGTATATCACCAGAATGTTCTGGAATAGCTGAAAACTTATTTCCCCAGCTTTCCATCATTACCCGTCTTCAAACAGGTATCTGAATACAAAATAACCCACAAATCAGAGGAGGACCATACAGTGACATATCATTAATTTCTCCACAATGATTTTTTCCCCCTGTTCCCTAAGAGAATAGGCCTTTCAAGTCTGGCACAGGTAAAATGACTCCCCGACTCCTCTCTGTGCAGCTTGCAGGTCTTTAAGCAGTAACTCCATCTTTCCTGGCACCTAGCCTCTCTGATAGCTGTAGACTATGGACCAGAAGCTGTTGGGCCACAGCACACAAGCCCAGGCTCATGATCTGCCAGGGGCACAGGGCAGCAGTATTTGTAAGCAGGCACTTTATTCACTGCTTACAGCAGTGGCAGAGAGCAGGATTCCTCCTGGCATGCTGTGCCAAATCACCCCAGTGTCTTCCCAGAGCCACACTGCGTGCCCCAATGCAAACACCTGCCCTCCCCCATGCTACCAGAGCAAGAGACAAGTCCCCACTGCCTGCCTCTGCTCTAGGA